TTTTATATTTGTTTTGTTTTGTTTTGTTTTTGCAATAAAATTAAACAGCAAAATGTATGCAAATTCTATAGGCACGAGGAACAGATTTTTTGGAGGCTTCTGTGTTATGGGAGAATGCAAGTCCACTTTCATTATTTCACTCTGTCCATCCAACCACAGATCATAACACACTTAACACACTTATATTCCTAATTCCCCAAGCCACATTTTTACAGTAGCTACATTCATATACTGTATTATGAATACTATAAAACTATACACTGTATATAATGAAATATGAAAATATTTTTATTTGACATCATGTAAACAGCTCTATATATTAAAGTTTATACACACTTCTAGGCAAAATGATTTGACAATTTTGATACAAACAAGAGTTAAAACAATTTGAGTATCAATAATTTCCTCAAAGCCTCCAACACTGTTTTCCTCTATTATAAGAACTTTGATTGTTGATCTTACATTTTAGACTGAGAGAGAAGAAATCAAGCAATCTTTAATTCACATTGATTACAGCCTTTAAAGACATGAGCTTAACAACTCAAAGTAAACTGTTCATGAGCAGTCAATATGAAGAGACCTAGTAGCTAATCCATCAACTTTACTAATCAAATCTAATGGACTCATTGTCAGACTTTCTTCATCATTAACATAATTTGTTCCTCTCTTCACGTGAAGCTCAGAGGTTACTGTGGTTCTACAAAGTTCACAATTGCACGTGCTCACAATTTTATTTTTTGGCTTATGATGTCCTGTTAAGCTGCCTTTGGTCAGTTCCTTTTTTGAGTTAAGAACACTAATAAACTGCTAATTATAAAACAAGGTGAGGTGCTTTTCAGATACATCTCGGCCACTGTGTGTTACTGCCTCATCAATCCTGCAAAGAAGAGCACAGGTAACACTGATCACTAATCCCATAGCCCCTTGAACTATAAGGATGTCCTGTACTTTACTGAGGGATTTGTGTGTTATTATAAACAGGTTGTTGAACAAGTCAAGAAGAGTGGAGGGATAACATATAATCACAAGTAAAAAATTTAAAATATTTTAATGAATTGTTCAACTAAGAGTGCCACCCTATATCCAGAAAGCATTGAAAATGTTTTGCTAAATGGGTATCCAGTGAAGCCACATTATTAATTGCTTTTTAAAGGGAAGTATTTTGCAAGAAATGCAGAAAAGGCAGAAACACAAAAAATCCATTATACCAGGATTAACTGGTAGTTTTAAACAAAATGGTTAAATCATCAGTACAAGATAGCCATAGAACTATGTTTCCTCTTGGACAATGAATGAAAAGCACTAAATGAAGAGCAGAATAATTTAACTAATAATAAATTAAAGTACTCTATAGGAAATGGGGATCACATCCTCCACTACCAGTGTGCAGCCCCACCTGGATGATGCAACGGCAGCCATAGTGTGCCAGTATGATCACCACACTCCAGCTATTAGTGGGGAGGAGGACAGAGTGATGAAGCCAGTTCATAGACGAGGATTATTAGGAGGCCATGATTGGTAAGGGCCAGGGGCAAATTTTGTCAGGACACTGGGGTAAACGCCCCTACTTTCTTTTTTGAGAAACACCCTAGGATTTTTAATTGGGACCTTGGTGTTTTGTCTTATCTGAAAAACGGTGCCTTTTTTACAGCATAGTATACCCCACCACTATACAGGAGCCACAGGGTGAGCACCCCTTACTGGCCCCACTAACACCTCTTCCAGCAGCAACATTAGCTTTCCCAGGAGTCTCCCATCCAGGTACTGACCAGGCTCACAGCTGCTGAGCTTCTATGGAGTGCCAGTGGTGAGTTGCAGGCTGATATAATGGTCTTGGTCACAGTACTGTATGTAATTGAAATCTCTGAGCCTTTTGCACATCAGTGTAACTTTTGACATTCACAGGGATACTACATAAAAATTCCACAAGTCATAAACACCTTCCCGTGAGTTACCACAGAAAGGCTGGGATGTGTTTTGAGTTTTATCTTTTAAAAGCAGGTGCTTATCAGTTTTAGGCTGTTCTTTTCTATGCTGTTTTTTTCTGGTCACAAACAGCTCCCTTATGAGCTCTTCCCTTCAGACATACTGTACATACAGTATATAACATCACTCTGGTCTCTGGATTCAGAGTGCCTGTTGGGTAACAAGGCCAGAATATCTGTCCCCACAGCTCTGTGTTTTAGTTCATCATGAAATTGTTCAGATAGAGGATCTCTTGCTTTCTTAAGGTTTGTTTGTTGTGTGGGTCCTAGAAGAGGCCTGTATCTTAGTGCAAAAGGGCAGTTTACAGACTTAAGTGTGGTGGCTGTGGCTTGGGTAACAGGTGCAGTTCTGCTCTGCCCTCCCCTTCCAGGGTTGGATCACAGTTGCTCGGTTCAGGCCCATAGAGCACCAGTTTCTAGCCAGTGGCAAACTCCACTGTGGCCGAACTCCTCCTGCTTTGAGGGAATTGTATAACAGTTTGGGCTAAAACAATCAAATGAATCATTGCATCTCGGCTCCGGTCCTTTTTTCGGGCACTGTTGGTCTCTCTGGAACTTTCCCTCCGGTTTCAGATCTGCACCACCTTGATTTGGGTGGTGAGGGCTCTAGTGATGTCCACTGACTCGCACTCACCATTTCTGCTCCTTCTGTTGGACGTTAGTGCTGCCGTGGACGCTGGCAGCAGTGATATGCAGGTCTCTGGTGGTGCTTTTCTAAAGTGGTTTGCTTCTTAGTTGTCTAACAGAAAACAATTTGTTACCTTGGGCGGGATTAGTTCTGAAGTCAGCGGTGTTATCCCAGGCATTCCTCAGGGATCTGTTTCGGCACTTATCCCATTTTAAATCTAATGCCACCTCTGGGTCAAATAATTATTCATCATGACATTTGCTATCACTGCTGGGCTGATGACATGCAAATGTATTTGTATGCTAAAACTGATTTTTATTTTTATATGTGTCTACGTTAAATACATGTCCTACAGTTATTCAAAACAGCACTCAGCAAAGATTTCACTGTTATGTGACAATAAGACCACTGTCTTATTAAAACTATTGTCTTCTATGCATCAGGGCAGTGCAGCTAGAGATTTCAGACCAGTTTTTGATGGTTGTGAGATTATTCCTGAGACAATGTTTGGAAATCCCCGATATAATCATGCAATGTACAGTTTTTTTACCACAACACCCTTGTTAAATTGAAACTGGTATTTTCTGAAATAACCAAAATGGTTTATATTTATCAATTCAATTTTTTTAGATGCAATGGGGTATGAAGTAGAAAAAAAAAACAATGAGTAATCAGTGTATGTGATATAGTTTGCAGACCCCTAGTGTATTAAAACAATTAAGGGAATAATTAGAATCAAATGGTTAATTGAGTAACAAGTAATCAAGGACTGAGTTTGAGCACTGAGTTAGAAACCTTATGAATTTGGTATCCACCATATACTGTACTGTAGGCTTATGAATGTGTTTTGCTTAAGCATCTGATCTGCAGGATTCTCTTACTGCAGCTTTTTTGGAGGACTTGTATGGGGTGGAGAAAATCATTTTATTTTGTGTTGTATTTTATTGTGGTTGGGAAATAAACAGTTGAGGTACAGTATGAGTCTTAGCAAAGTCAAAAGAACATAATCATATATCTCCAAAGGCTGTGAAATACTTTATGCTTTAAAATATTTTAATGAAAGCTGTCTTAGAAAAAACATTCTTCTGGGAAAGGAAAACAGGCAACTCTTACCAGTTGTTTTTGCCAATGATTTCCATTCTTAAAACCCCTTGGAGGTCTCCAAAAAGATCTGTGGAAGCCTCCATTGTACAGAACATTCTGTATTGTATTAAACAGTTTGTCAAAATGCATTTGCCCCTACGCTGCACTTGTGTTACCTTTGGATAATTTGTATGCCCATGCAACACCCATAAATACTCGTTAGGGTAAAACAGCCCTGGAGCCCTGACAGAGTGTGACATACTGTATATTGTCTGTTTACACTTGAAAGAGATCAGCAGAGTAAGTAACTTATTATTAACTCTTCAAGGCTGACTAACTCCCAGAGGAGTGCAGTAAGTCAAAGAGAAGTCATCTTCGCTGCCTAAATAGTAGCCAGAAAGCTGCCTGGAAATATTGATTTACTTTCTAGGCCATTTAGGCCTTAATGGCAGAGAAAAGCTGAAGTGCTCTTTCAAACCTCTCTCTCCCTCTCACAATCGACGTTTCATGAAACAAACTGTTTTTTCCATATTTTTGAGCATTTGTGTTTGAGCTCCACATACAACAATTCACTGTAAATTGACTTTTTTCAATGCCACTTTTTACTATTTTGCGGGCTATTTTCAAATATATAATTGTGAGCTATATATAAACAAGATTACACAGAGGATGCTGTGAAATGACACAGTAATTTCTGATCTCCACTGTCTACAACAATTATTCAAACAGTGCTTCACTTCTTCTTTTATTGTAATTATCTGGATTAAATTCAAATGTTACAAAAATAAGATGCACATTCATGTTTTATGTTTTTAGGCAATTTATGAGTCATAAAACATTTTTAACTTTCAATAATTTTAATCCTCCTTTTAGTAGGCACTGGAAATATGTAATGAAAGAGACTACTCATACTAAACATACTGTACTATAGTACGATTCCCCTTTCAAAATAAATGTGGAATTAAATCTTTCTTATCATAATATTGTATTAAAATATTTTTATCCTGATATTAAGGTGGCCTCAATACATACTAGAATGAATGATTAATGTAGCTACTGTACTATATGTCCTTGTATCCCTAATATTTAACAGAAAATTGCACAAAAATAACAACGATACTATAGCATTAAAAAGAATGATGGAAACATTCACAGGACACTGCATTTGTTTAATTAATTAACATATTTGCATCTGGTTACCAATTCAATACGATGCTCTTTCCATACTTGTCTGATCTTTCTAGAAAAGTTTGGGAGTGCAGCATTTTTATTCTCTTTCTAATAGCATTTTCCTTTTATTTCAGAATGAAGAACAAGTTTTGGTACTTTGAATTTGGCACTTCTGAAACCTTTTCTGCCACCTGTAAGAAGCTTCATGAATTTTTGGAAGTTGAAGTAAGTGCAAAAGTTGTACTATATATGGGGCAACAACATAGATTTTGTCTGCTGAAAAAAGTAAAAATGCAAATAATGAGACATTATACAGTAGGTCCCATAGATGGGCACTAAAACACAGGTATTACAAGTTTAAATGGCTGGTTGAAAAACTCAAATTACAGGGTGATCTCTATGGTCCAGTCAGTACAGATAATGCAGTAAGTATACTATAGTCCAGACAGCACTCAAAATACAGGGTGAGACCTATAGTCCAGACAGCACTGAGAATACAGGGAGATCTCTATAGGCCAGACAGCACTCTGAATGCAGGGAAAGTGCTATAGTCTGGAGATCACATAGAATGCTGGGAGAGTCCTATATTACCTACAGCACTCAGAATGAAGGGTCCTACAGAACAGTGCACATAGCAATCAGAATTCACAGTGAGCCCTATAGTCCAGACTATACCAACGAAGCAGGAAGTGGCCTATAGTCCAGATAAAACTCAGAATGCAGTGAGAGTCTATAGTACAGATAGCATAGATATTACATGTTTACATGGGCAGAAAGCACTCCAAATGAAAGGTGAGCCCTATAGTCCCTATAGTCCAGACAGGACTTAGAATATAAATTGAAGTCTATAGTCCAGACAGCACTCTGAATACAGGGTGAGGCCTATAGTCCATACAGCAACAAGAAAGCAAGGAGATTGCTAATCGTTGAGACAGCACTCAGAGTGCTGCGTGAGTCCTGTAGTCCAGATAGCACTCCGAATACAGCCTGAGAACTAGTCCGGACAAGCACAGAGAATGCATGGGGATCTCTATAGTCTAGACATTATCTAGAATGCAGACATAGTCTAGACAGTGCTCAGGATGCCAGGAGAGCCCTATAGTCCACACAGCAAAGATAATGCAGCTCAATAGTCCAGACAGTACTCAGAATGAAGGGTAAGTCCAATAGTCCTGTTAGCTCTGGGAGTCATTATTCAACAGGCAAACATCTGGTGTTGTTTGGCTTGAATTGGTTAAGTATCCTTAATACCAATTCCCTACACTTGAAGTATAGACGCTTTTCTGGACACTCCTCTCAAAGCCCTTTACAGGTAATGGGGATCCCCTCCGCCACCACCAGTGTGCAGCCCCACCTGGCTGATGTGACGACAGCCAAAGCTCACCAGTGTGCTCACCACACATCAGCGATCTGTGGGGAGGAGAAAAGAGTGATGAAGCCAATTTATAGACAGGGGTTATTAGGAGACCATGATTGGTAAATCATCGGCACATTTTGTACAGCATCCCCATCACTCTACTGTGCCATTAGGACCCACACAGACCGCAGGGGAAGAGCTCCCTGCTGATCCCACAAACACCTCTTCCAGCAGCAACCTTAGCTTTCCCAGGAGGTCTCCCAGCCAGGTACTGGCCAGGCTGAGCTTCTGCGGGCTTCCAGTTGTGAGTTGCAGAGTGATATGCTGTAGCTGCTGGCTATAGTTAGTTAGACAGACTAACTACTTTGCCTTGTGTGCTGCATTTGCAGCTCCATTTCACAGCACAGGGCTCACCTTTTGGAACACAGTACAGTTCTGCGTTTAGTGGGCTAGGGAGATGGTCAGCAAGAGAGGGATTAATAACAGGGATTGAAAATATCACATTGCATTGCATTGCATTGCTTTTGCTTGTCTGTGGGAACGTCAAAGAGAAATTGCATGGTTACAGTAAATACATATAATACAGTGCTGTTTTTTCTTGCTCTGAAAATAAGTGAAAGCACACATTTCAGAAGCTACATAATAAAGTGATTGCAGAAAAGGTAAGGATATTTTGGCTTTGGCTACAAATGGTATGAGGGACAACTACCTGCTTATGTGCATTAGGAAGTTAGATCCCACTCCATGCCCCACATGGTAGAGGAGCTAGTGATGACAGAGGGGTGTTAACAGGGTGAATGCTGGTGAAACGTGGGCTCAATACTTGTATTTATACCCTAGAGCAGTGAAATTTGCTCCTGGTCCTGGATGCCTGCATTATTGTCATTGCTACATAATGGCATAATATTGTCCAGTTAAGTGAACCATTGATTTAAATAATGTCATTAAGAGACCAGAGTGGAGTGAAATCAAGAAGACATGGTGGCCTTTACCAGGAGTGCATTTCAGTGCCCCGGAGGCAGTGGTTGATGGGAACTGGAGTTTTTCCTTCTATAGCATTTTACAGGTTTACACTCAAACCGTTTTACAGGTAATGGGGACTGCTGTCCACCAGTGTGCAGCCCCACCTGGATGGACGATGCAACAGTAGCCATAGTGAGCCTGTACGGTCACCACACGTCAGCTGTTTGTGGGGAGGAGAACAGAGCGATGAAGCCAATTCAAAGATGGGGATTATTAGGAGGTCATGATTGGGAAAGGCTAATGGGAAATTTGGCCTGGATGCTGGGGTAACACCCCTACTCTTTTCGAGAAACGCCCTAGGATTTTTTTAATGACCACAGAGAGTCAGGACCTAGCTTTTAAGTCTCATCCGAATGACGGCACCTTTTTACAATAAAACGTCCCCATCACTATACTGGGGCATTAGGACCCACTCAGACTGCAGTGTAAGTGCCCCCTACTGGTCCCTCAAATACCGCTTCCAGCAGCAACCTTAGTTTTTCCCTGGAGTCTCCAATCCAGGTACTGACTGAGCTTCAGTGGGTTGCCAATTGTGAGTTGCAGAGTGATATGTCTGCTGACTCTTAAACTACATCCTCCTACAGACTTTCAGTATGAACTCCGACATGCAGTATATTAAATGCCTCAATTACTTTATTGGTAAATTGTGGCCCATTTATCCTTCTTCATCATTCACTGTTACAGTTAATGAGTTACAGTACATTTGAACTTGTCATAGCCAAGAAGAAAATTATATGTGAGTAGAGAAACAGGGCAGAGAGGATCTCAAGGTATGAGGAATCTGAATCTACTGAATTTGTTGGTGCAAGGTGTCATGTTGTTCTTCAACTATATATCCTCAACTGGGGCATCAGTAGGTGAAGGGTTTGTTTTTCGGAAATATTGCAACACAAAGCGTGCAACTGGACTAAACCTAAATCAGGAATTTTAAAATCAATAAGATTAACCTCTTTGTAACACATTTGAAAGAATCCATCTGCAAAGAGAAAAAAGGATATTGGAACTGTTTTTCATCTATTCTCATCTATTAATAATGTATTAAATCATCTATTAATCTAGTTATCTGTGAGAGACTAGTAGGTCTGAATAATACAGGCAACAAAAGATAGCAGTATATTGCCAGCCAAATGTATCCACCCTCCATTGCATTTTGTTTTCGTATGATTTTGGCAGAAATTTGTCGTTTAACATGTGGTTGATTATTTTAATGTTCACATGATGTGTGATCATATTGTAGCTGAATGCTTAATTTTCACTGCTAGCCTTTTCGTGGTAATCCAGTGATAACATACTGTAGGACGATGTCTTATACAATTAAATACAGAGGGCCCAGCTTCTGCAGTATTTTAGACCCTGTAGTTTACCTTGGGTATGAAAGGAGATTCAGATAATTAGCTCATTGAACTACCTGCTGTGTTTAATATTGAGTGATAATGGAACCCAGTCCCGTCCAATCTCTCTTCACAATACACCCCTGTTTAAGGAACTCCAGTTAGTGTCAAGGACTGAGGCCCCCATTAATTAACAGCAGGGGTATACCAAAGGTATTAGATTGAATGCGTATCATTTATTTAAACAGTAACATGCTTAAATATGAATCAAGATGTGGCTGACTTAAATGAGGCATATTTCAGAAGCTACAGGTCATGACTTGCAGAAGACCCCCTTCTGTTTGACATTTCTAGCTTGTCAAAGATCAAATTATTTTAATTTAGGCTGCAAATTATATGGAGTAAATGCTTCTTTGTAGGAATTCCCTGAGGGGATTTGACTTTTTTTGTGACTGCTGCTTGTCAGTCTACAAGAGATATAATGCGAATGCAAATAAGTTTAAAAATATGTATCGGCTAATTACACAAACAATAGATTCCACTTGAGGACAGCGGGGGGCCCTGACATCCAGGGAGTGTTTGATTCATTGAGACCTGCAGTGTTATTTACATAAGATTATTTTTAATTATGAAATTAATTTTCTTTTTTTGTTTGATGCGTTCTCAGAACATATGTTGAAACTCACAAATAACACTGCGGTAATATAAATGACCTGGCAAACTTGAATGCTTCCATTAGCGAAGACACAAAGTTAGTCAAAAAGTGTCAATAGACATGCCGGTTCTTCCACGAAGATCTGCCACATATTGGCTCAGTGTGTCACAATTACTGTCTGAAGTTGTTTGGTTGCTTGGCGTGTGGAGGCCCTCATCTTTTTCACTCTGAGAGGTGCATCAAAAGCAATGAAATAACAACTCTTCTCAGGATAATGCTAAACTATAGCTTACAAATTATATATACTGTGTAAATAGTAAGAAAGAAAAGAGAAACGTTGAAGGTTGGGCGAATGAAGCGCTGAAAGAAAATGCCACACCAGACATGGTTTCTGCATTCTAAATTTGTAATGCTTCAAAAAGGCAGTGTCCTCAAACAGCAGTGTGTTTCACACAATTAGTATGCAGTAATGATGGATAAACGCCTTCCGAGTGCCATCTAAACTGTCCAGTGTGTTTTTCTACTCTTTGTTATTTCCCCGAATCTGCATTGCAGTGTGATGGGATCCAGCTCGATTTCAGCAACATCTCTCTGGAAGGGATCGCAGTTCTCAACATCCCAAGCATGCACGGGGGCTCAAACCTCTGGGGGGAGTCGAAGAAGAGGCGCAGCCACAGGCGAGCTGGGAAGAGGAGCCCCGAAAAGCGCGTCCCCATAGTGGATCCGAAAGAGCTCACGTTCGCAGTTCAAGGTACAGTAAAAAGAGGCGGTCGGGTCCGTCATCGCCCGGTTTCAGAAAGTTTTAGAATCATCACTGAGATAAGCAGGTAAGCCCTAACCGCTGAAGAGCAAGACCGAGCCTCCTCATGTTGTAAAAACTAAAGAAACTAAAGATACCACACACGGTTATGGATCTAATGTTGGTGACTTTTCAATATCATGGCAAAATGTAAGCCGATGTCACCCTTTATAAGTTATTTGCACAGCTATTTTCCAGAGGAATTTGCATTTAATTCATAACATTAGATCTTGCCTACACCTAATATTGAGAAACATTGTTTTTTTATTTAATTAAGAATGTGGATGGAAGAAAACTTTTCTCATACTCTGTGGTCAAGATTTAATAATTCACTAATGCCAGGTTTAATTACTAGCAGAAGATTGTATTGGGGCACACTGTAACCCTGTTTTCTGTCAGTGTTTCATACTGTCATACTACTGCTAATGGTTTCTGTAAGTGCCAGTGGACAGGACTCTCTAATAGGAACAGATTGAGCAGATCAAATTTGATTAGCTGTTATATGGCAAAGAAGGAATCCTGAATACATTTACAGTACATTACAAGGACTCTTAAGTATCTTAAAATGTTCTTATTAGGCTTTTTCATGATGTGTGCTATTTTAGATTCATTTATTAGATACATTATTTTTTAACGCTGGTGTAGTTAATAATAATTATAATAAATAATAATAATAATTGCTTACACCTACTGTATATAGCGCTTTTATGAACACCCCACACAAAGCGCTTTACAAGTAATGGGGACTCCCCTCCACCATGTGCAGCATCCACCTTGGTAAGATAAAAGTTGGTAAGATAAAACTGAAAAAGTTTAAGCTAATGTATTATAACTTTTCAATGCATTTTTTATTGATAGTGAAACCTCTGTTTCTTTGAATTAATACTTATCCAGTGCCTGAACGCGAACGGATTTTGCTCCAGATGTAACTATTTCTTGTCAAGTATTAGGAGGTTCAGTAAGTCATCAGTCACAATGTAAACTAGAATCCGTTTTGTTTAAAGGCAAAAATCAGCGGTCACTCTCTTTCAGTGCTCTTCTTTCACGCAGAATCTCAAGTGGTAACCACTAGGACTTCTCCAAGATAACTGGAGGATTGCTTAAAATACAGCAGCAATGTCCAAAAAAGAGGCAAAGAAAATCAAATAGACTCCAGAGCCTTAATTTTCACAAGCATCTGACGGGTTTTGAACATGACAAGTCAAAGGGAGATCTACAAATGATGGATCCCTGATGAGGTTTCACAGTTCTGGTGGGAAATCATGGTAGAAACACTTGCTTTTTATTTCACTATGCTTTTGAGGTGATGCCAGGAATGAGTTTTAGATTGAAGCTTATCTTAACTCTCCTATGATTCTTCTCAGTGAAAAAATGGCTATTTTGTATTGTGTTCTGAAGACTATTCAGTCATCGAGCTACAGACATTTTTAAAAGGGTTCTTTTAAATGCTTTTTGGACATTTTTTTTCCTAGTTACACTTCAGTCTGTTCAAAGTGCATCTTTTGTGTAAAACATCTTTAATTCCAGGCTGCAACAGTAATTGTTCAAGTAATTTCAAAGGGTGTATTGTACATATAGCAAATGATGTGTTGGAAATTATAGCATTTTAATATTCTGTGATTTAACCTGTTACTTTTTATTTATTACTTGATTATTATTACTGTATCTAATGTACTTTATTATAGTCTATAATTACTTATTTGATATAGCCTCTTTGATCAAAACAAGAATTTCCATTATCTTATTTTGTGTACTTATAACTGAGGATTGCAGAAGATTTCTTGGTCTTTAATTTTAGTCAATACTTGTACAGCGCTGATAAATGCAGCTATTTGTAGCATGCATGTCCTCTTTTATATCCCCCAAAATCATCCATTTTAGCATCTGTTCTACCTAGATCTGGAGACGCCAAATAACTCAAAAAGGAGGAGAGACTGCAGTTGCTTTAAAGATTGTATATTATAAGAACAGAGGGTGGGTGATCAATTAATTTATAGCTGAAGTAGTGTTTCTCCTGCCTCATCCATAAATCTAAGAAAATCAATTGGTTTGTGCAAAATTCTCTTACTGAACCGAAAAAGGCACTTAGTGAATCCTGTCCTTGTTGTTGCGCAGATCCTGTCTCAAGGTTATAGCCTATGTCACGTTAGAAGGTAGGAACTGAAATAAAGAGTGCATAAACGAAAAAGTGCATTAGCCCTCTAGTCCAAGAACAGGGCATGGAACAACCTTATAACATCTGCCACCTTTCCAAAGCTGTTACATTTTTTTTCCAGGTGACACTAGGAGACAAACACTTCAGGTAGAATAAAAATATTCCCGACAGAGTTTGTTGAAAGTTAATTATTAAGTACTTGTACAGTGTGAGAAGAAGTAATGTTCTGTGACATCTGCCTAGAAACCATGCCAAGTGAATGTTCACTGCATGTCCCATTCTAATGCAGCAGAGTTTGTCAGCTTATACGAACAAAGTTTAAAGGGTATATCCGGTAAAAGGCATTGGCCACGAAACTCAAAAACACCCTGGAAAAAAAAGAAGAAATGCACCAAGAGAATACCTCTGGAAAGGGTAATAGGTGCAACATGCAAATTGAATAGTGATTGTTTGTTGCTACATTTGTAAAATGGGAATTATATAATATTAAATATAATTTACACCCTAATGCAAGTGGACCAAGTAAAGCACCAATAAGAAAGGAAATGTCTTGTGAACAACAGTAGAAGTATTAGTAGCAGCTACAGTAGCAGTGGTAGAATTGGCTGTAATGGTAGTCATGTTAGTAGGAGCAGTAGTGGTATTTTCGGTGCAATAACAATAGCAATGGTATATTTGAACAATAGCAATATCACTCTTTCTTAGTGTATCCAGGGGCCACAGCACATACTTGATAAATACAGTAGATGTTTTTCAAAATGTCCAGTTCCAAACATATCTTAGACATCTTTTATTCAGCGTCCTTTACGTCTGTGTACTAGTTTCTTGTTTGCAGTTTTAAATACTCTAACACGTAGCTTCCTCTTGTGCCCTCTGGTTCGTGTTTCACTGTTGGGGGACACACATGTAAACTATGAAGAAGAGCAGATGCATGGTTGTTCTGATATCGCATTTACAGAAATTCTATACAGTATTGCTGTAATTTATGATACTGGATACAGTAACTTGTTACGAATAAATTAGAAATTAAAATTATTTTAAAGCATGAGAAAGTTAAAATGATTCTCTCAATCTTCAGAATGCATTGAAAAGCGAATTTACGACGATTGTGTTTTGCCAATAACACTGTGCAGAGTTTCCAAAGTTATATTGACAGAGATGTGGCAGCTGCCTGGTCCAAAATTATTGTTGTAAGCAGGACTTTAGTGGTAAATGTGGCTTCTAGAAACTCCAGCATCTACCCTACAGGCCAGATCTGGCTCTTAGGGGCTGGAGTGCAAGAATGCCTTTCTTGGCAATGTTCTGCCATTTGGCCAAGATAAAACTACTCTGTTTCCCTACTTTGTTCTCATGTGTCATGGGACTGACAAGAAAATTTACCTTGTTCTCATTCCTTGGCACGAGAATCTTGTTTATTGTTTAGAAACACCGAACTGTTTTATCCGTTACAAATGCCACAGCTGCAGAGTTCCTGATCTCTTCGTTCCATTCTGTGCTTTGCTTACAAAAATAGACCCTTATATGGACATTTATTTCACAAGCGCTTTTTTACATACATAAAAAAAAACAAGGGATCACTTAACAGAAAAGCACATGTTCAGAATACTGCTCAGTCAATTTGGTTGATGGGGATCATGGCTTTGCAAATCAGTTTAATCAGTAGAAGAGCGTTGTATCTCAATACAGATTCTGTTTATGTGCCAAATCTTAAAAAATCGTAAACAGAAACTGCAAAGAAAATAATGCAAATTAAAACACATAAGGGAAAATTGATTTAAACCAAGTCCTGCATAGACTGGATCTATACTGGCAGGATGTACAGTACAGGCTCCATATTCCCTTGCCTGTGAGATGAGTAGACAATGAACACTGGCTCATAAACCTTGATTAATATCAGGGGGAACTGTTAGCTTTGCCTTGGAGTTCCATTCCACTCTAAATTAAAACTCCTTAACTGGCCTTAATTAAGACAAAAACAATCTTTTAAATCAAATATCACAACATGTTTACATTATGCTTCAGCTTGTTCTGCACTTGGATTGTGTGTTGAGCTAATGGCTTCTCTAACTGTTTTCATTGCAAAGCACTCTGGGAATCCTGGTGTGAACAGTACGTCAGAGTAAATTATTAATTTACTATTGTAGTAGTGCAAGACAACCCCCATGCAAATCTCAGCACTGGGATCCTTTCAAATGGTGAACTGCAATTTTATTTTATGATTGGCTATTGGGAATTTCAAGACTTTTAAGCATCAAATTCTAGGTTTTCTATTTTCACCTTCTGTTTCACTTCAGTTAATGACCTTTTGTAGTTTATCATATGATTTATATAGTACAGATAACTATAACTATTGCATTGGTTCTTATTTTTGGGAATATTTATTTTTGGTATAATTCATGCCTTAGAATAACAATATAGTATAATTTATTTTTATAATATGCATTTACTCCTCTATTATGGTCTATTGTTGGGGGCAACAAACATTTTTACACAAAAAAAAATATTATGCATAGGCAATTAATTTAAATACAACGGTCAAAATCTAACAAAACCGTGTGCGGAGCTCCTTGTGTTGTAACCGGCAACATGCTTGCATTGACCTGAAGTTTTTGGATTATCAGGAATCACATTCAATTACCTGATAACAGTTTTGTGTTTCTCTGAGTGCTTGTGGGAACAGAATTGGTAAAGACAAGTTCTAATGGAGTCCTGGCACATGGCCAGACACTGTCTAAAAGAGAGGAAAGATGAAGCAGGATGCAGCTGCTGCGATAAAGAGTGATTTCTGTGGAGCACA